TAAACTGTCTAGAGAAGCCACATTCTTATGACTTCTTGTAACTAACCTGGCTTCTAGTCCCTATAAACTGGCTGAGGCAAGCAAATTACCCTGAGGGGTTGAACTTGAGAACGAGTTTACCCAGTGTTAAGTAAGTCGGAAGGTGGGGAGGTTTTAAGATAAACTTGCCAGAGCTATAAAGGATTAGTGCTTGAAATTGGGGCAAAAATAGAAGGGGAAAGTCAAAATTAAATGCTTCTTTCAAGTTAGGAAATGTGCAGACTTGTTTCAGATGTTTACTCAAATGTTTTGATAATATTCTAAATCTCTACAGCCTTGAATTTGAAGGTCACGTGCAGACAATGCCATGGCTGCCTTTTGGAATGTCTCTGTGGATCCATCCATTACTCTTGCTATTTTGTTCCTTTTATTCCTTTGCTAAAAATTTTTGAAATTTAAAAGTTTACCATATAAAATATCTTACTGTTCTGGCATTTTATGCCACACCCCTTGAAATGTTGTAATTTATAAGTTTGCCTTATAAACGGTCTTTTATTATACAAAGAACCTGACCAATTTGCCATCTTCCCTAGTCCGGTCACCATTTTATTTTCTTGGGCGTGGCCTTAGGAGAAATCTCTTTCGGCGATTGCCTGCGTGATTGACAAGTTGCAATTGGGAACTTTTGTGGTCTCTATTATCAGATCTAATTCTTAGAAACTGAGGTACTTGCTATGAAAATTACCCTCTTCGTTTATGTTTTTAGTACTGAGGCCTTGGCACTTGTCCAGGAGTTAATGAGAAATCACGGTGCAATTATGTTTTATTTTTTTTCCTCCATTCTTTCTGTGTTTGTCATAATGGTGAAAATTAAAGAAACCTGAGTGGAAAATGCATCAGTAAGATAAAAGCAGATTGCAGTTACGTTCTGACCTCGGTTTCTTCCTCTACAACTGTGTATTTTTCACAGAATTAATTATATTCTGCAGTGTCCCTACGCCTGTGTGTTGCTGCTGCGTGTTTGCTAGTGGAGTGACCGCTCGCTGCTCTGTGCTCCGGGGAAGCAGTGCTTTCACGCCTTCTAAAGATGACTGAATTGTCTGGTTTAAATTAAATTTCCTTATGGTTCATAGTGATGAAAATCCGGCTGCACTCCAACTATCGGGATAAATTAGTGTGTTGTCTGTAAAAACTAGCTCTTCTGTTTAAATGAAGAGCAGATAAAAACTATACATGTGATGAATCTGATCTATTCAATGACAAATCCCAGAACAATGAGGATAGTGGAATTTTAGATTATTTTAGATGTATTTAGACTATTCATCTGGGTTTGTAAAATGTCTTGCTTTCTATCACAAATCATTTAATTATATGCTAAAGTGATGAAAACCTCATTTTGGTAGTTTTGTTTATTCCTCAAAGCAGTCAGTTACTTGTTTAAAGTTTAAAAGTGAACATAAACCAAAGTGAAAATTTTTAACATAAAGTAATAATTTAAAAATTTTAATTGTTCTCCAAACATTAGACATGTTAATTGAAAATAAACATAGAAATCTCTTCCCTGTGGTCATGAAATTTTTGACATTTATTCGTACGTCTACTTATAAGAAAGATTGACTGGACATAATCGATACTACCTGGCCATTACTCACAACTATCAAATATAGGACCTTAACATCATTATTTGCCCTATGTGGCTGAATGCACACAAAAACACACATATACACACATAAACACACATACCACACACACGCATACACACATAGACACACACACATACACAAACACATGTACCACACACATATACACATGTACACGCAAACTCACATACCACACTCACATATACACACAAACACACACCAACCACACACATGCATACACACATATACACACACAAACACATATACCCCACACACATATACAAACATACACACACAAATACACACATACCCCCCCACAGGCATACACACTTACATGCATACACACATACACACACCTACGTGACCACATGCACACACACACACACACACACACTTCAGAACCTTTCCAAGTGAATCCCACCGCGAGTAGCTCCCCCCACCTCTCCGATCACCTCCACCAAACTTTTCCTTGTCTTTGCTGCTCAGTAGTGTGAAACACATCAGCTTACATCTTCGTTTACGGGCTTATCTCTCTCCCACTGGAATAGAGCTCATGAGGATGGGTCTGGTCCGTCATAGCTGTGTCCCCAGGACCAAGAGCAATGCCTGGCTCACAAGAGGCACTGACTAGTGAACTAGAAGGTGGCGTCCATTTGGACGCAGGCTTCCTTCTCTGAACTGTGACACTGCAGCTCTCACCTGACTCGCCACCTCCCGCAAGTTACTGTGGTTGTTATTTCCCCGCATCCTCCTGTGAGCTCTGAGAGCAGGGATGTGTTCGTCTGCTCCAGTGCCGCTTCCTGAGAACATTTCAGTAAAGGCCCATCTGTGAAAATGTGCATCTGTGGATTTATGTGAGTATTTGCTGACTCTAAAGGCTAACGGGAAAGGACGAGGAAGACACGTTGTCTCTCGTTTCTCACTTGCCAGCTGGTTCCTGTCTTAATGGTGATCCTGGAGATGGGACCGTGAGCGTTGTCTTTCTTTGGAGGGCAGTGGACTGAAAAGGGAAATGGGAAAGACAAAGTCTCTGGGACCCTCCAAGTCACTCCACAAACTGCTGGCCTGCTGTACAGGTGCATGGGGAGTTAGACTGTTGTGCAGCAAAACTGGTTATACAGCAAAACAAATTTTGTTAAATTTGCTAAGTATTTTATGTTAGGTTTTTTCTAGGACAGATGTGGTGAAGACAGCTATTTCTGTGATGTTGATAAAGTCCTGCAGGAGGATGCAGTGTGTAGCCAAGTGTGGCTGCTGCCTACGGTCCCCTTACTGTCCTAGACCTCCCAGTAGTCATTTTAAGTGTAAGGTAATCATTATATTGACCTCTGTACCAGCCACTGGTTTTATGTCAACTTGATTTTTTTCACTCTCATATCACAGAGGCAGTATTAGGCAGTTATGAAGAATTGATTATGAGGCCAAGAAAGTGGAAGACTACTTTTGAGTGATGTCTTAATGAAGTTTTAAAGTTAAATGTGTGGGAAACAAGCAGACTAGAACATTCGCTCAGAGCACAAGTTGCTGTGACTCCTAAAATCATTGATTTGATTGTCAACTTGGAGAGGCTATTCAAGATTGACTTAGATGTGTAAAGAGCGAGTCTAGTGAATCTCAGAAAGTGATACTCAAAATTTTTATTAAGTCACAGCTAACAGAACTGTCAAAGAAAGACCCTGGTACATGGACTCCAGAATGTCATACCCTGAGATCTTAAGTTAAGGTTTTGCACTCCATTGTATGAACATTTTTATTCCATGTAATCGTTGTTTTGATTGAAATGTCTTTATAATTGAACCTGGTTTTAAAATTTTTGTTTCCTTAAACATTCATCCTTGGAGGTAGATTTCTGTGAAAGAAATAAAGATGTTTTGTAAGTTGGTTGCTCTCACCTTGTTCATTTCAATAGTAGGAAAATGATGTTAATTGAAAAAAGAAAATTTGCTGGTACCGTGAGCTCAATTATTGGTACTTGACTTACTTGATTTTTTAAAAAAAGTTTTCCCCCCATTTTTATACTTGCACATTTTAGAAACTTGAATGTCTGCAGAGTAAAACATGTATCATGTCACAGATCACCTCTGTTGATGTTGGTGCATGTACCTTCTCTTTACTGTCTAACATCTTTAATGAAATAAGACTATACTGTGCAGAGTAAGTAGTAGTGTTTTGTAATTTGTATTATTTTAAAATTGAAGCAGCTACTGAAGATTATTTCGTGCCACTGAATATTCTGCATTAGCCATTTTAACATGTGCTCCACGAACCCTCTTAATGAGGTGACATGGGGACACGGTCCACCCCTTCAGGAAGGTGGCTGTGGCCTGACATTCACCGTGGCTCTGGAGCCCC